AAATATAATTTTCAAATTTTATTAGATTGTAATTTGAAATATATAACAGTTGCATGCGCATATCTCATTTTCTCGTTTGCGCAGTTTCCTTTTTTGAATTATTCGAAGTGGACCAATAAGTGCAATGAGAATCGTAACGTCTTGTTCGTTCAATTTTTAATTTTCGTTTCGAAAAATTCAAAGTGCGTGAATAATAAACTTAGTAGTGCTGGCATAAACGAAAATGTATCGGTAAATAGTAATAGAATAACGTATAACATATTAAAAAGGAACATGTGTATAAAATACGATATCAATAATATTTGCGATTATTGTATTCTTTCGCTAACATAATTATCTTCGTATTTCGAAATGATTGTAAAGTAACATATCCTAATAGTAAAAATTAATTTTATTAAGTGTTAGTGCAAGTAGTTTAAGTGTAAGTGCAAATTTTTTCTACGAAATACACCAACTGGTAAGAGTTTTTAATTTTATATTGGTCAATATGTCAATTTTTTATAGTTCAATTTGAAATTTTTGCTTTCACGAAATAGTAAAAGGAAACATTAATTTCTTTTCAGAACGAAAAAGACGACTGTCGGGGTTAGCTGCACTTTATATTCAACGTAAGCTGTTATCGGTAAGTGCAAATTATAATTTGCAATACGTTTTTTGTTTGTAATTATAGGTACCTGCAGTACTACGCAATACATTATAAACAATTGCGTATCTGTTTATTTTTAAAATATTTTATTTAAATAAAAATGGTACACATATATCAATATACAAAATTCATCACAATATTCTTAAAACCGAAGTTTTTTTTATAAATATTATAAATACGAATACTTTAAAGCCATGGTTTCCATCCTACATACGTACGACCTAAAATATTTAGATCAGTTGCTTGATCCAATAAACATTCGACCTAAAAATTTCGAGAATTATCGCGTTAACGAATAATTCGAAAAATAACGCTTTATACAATATTATATACCTGTTCTTCGGGAGTTAAAAAGTTGTCCTTCATTTTTGCTCGTATTCGTTTGATATCATCATCGCCGGTAATTATAGCCCAATATCTGTCGAAATATTTGTCATTGTGTTGTTCTCTTACTTGATGTAACGTGATCAAAGATGGTTTGATTCCATTCAGCTTCTTTTTAACCGCTTGAATCTTTCTTAATGGCACCCATTTGACATCTGTAAATTGAATAATATAAAAGGTACCCATTTAACAATTATAACAGTTCACATTTTACAATATTAAAAATTACCAGCAGCCTCTTCTTCATTTTCTCTCAATGCCCTGTTCACATGTTCAGTCCAATTTAACGGTTCATGAACAAAAACGTCCATACAAGAAAGAATAGGTCCCTGTTCGTTTCTAACTGCTCGTAACGCGTGTATCATTATCATTTTTAAAAGATCCTTTTCAGTGAAGGGTTTCAGTAAACCCAAGATTTGGGAGGTTAAACGGAAAGGCATTAATTCAGGTATCCTCAAGTCAACACCAGCATCAAAGGCTAATCCAAAATCGATACCTAAACAACGTCCTGAATTGACAACGATAAGAGTATTCTGTAAATGTCGATCACCAATGCCCAAGATCCAATGTGCGATGCACATTGTTGCGTACGAGGTAATAAAATTGCGACGCATGGTAACGAAACTTTCCACGGTCGGACATAAAGTTATCAATGTTTTCCGCAAACTGTCCCATTCTGTTTGACTGATAAATACATTCATTTTAGCAATAACATTCGTAGCGGTGTACTTCGACAACGCCTCCTTGTAACCTGCAGCCTTTTGCATCCATTTCTGATAATCTTCAGGTATCAAGTTGCTTCGTTTTATTTGTTGCGGTGATAGTGTGAAATTTATTAATTCTTGCAGTGACCTGGTGTTGTCTATCCATTGTATAAGGCCCACTGTTTTGGACAGGGGAATCACCTGCATTGAAGAGACATTTATGATTTCTTTTCAAGTTCCACTGAATTACCTAAAGCAGTGATGAGCAATCTATCTTTGCAGTGGACCAAAATTGGAAGGTAAATTTGAAAATAATCAAAAGAAGATTATTTTAGATTGCAAGTGAATAATTGGTGAGCCACAGGTTGCTCATCACTAACCTAAACAAATATCCAGTTACCTGATAAGTATCAATAGACAATTGTCTTTGTCTAGATGCTGTATCAATGTACAACGTTTTGTTCATAATGGTGAACAATTGTTGTAACCTCTGATCTTGCCTCAAATCCTCGCCGAATTTTACCAGAAAATGATATTCCTTCGCGTCGTTACCAATCATCGTAATTCGAATAGGTTTACGCAGCGATCGCATTACTTTTACAGTAGGCTCAAATTTCATAATTCTCGTATGATATTGTGGCATCGGTTTTCTGTCGCCGGTGTATTGGCCAGGTATCTCTATGTCTTTATGAGAGAAATTGCACAACCACGGGCTGTAATCCCGTAATGCAAACGTGTCTCTACGTTTTTGAAGTGACTCTTTAATGCTCTTAGACATTTGATCTATTCGTAGCTTAAGTTCTTCAGGTTTCTTGTGTATCAATTCGTTTATCTTACTTTTATATGCTGAAATCTTGCCGAAGATGCTACCTTGCGTTGGATTACCAATGTTTTCTCTTCCACTTGGATACACCTTCTTCAGAAGTTCGTTCACAGCCGTAGCAGTACCAAGTGAGAGATTCTTCGCCAATTCTACCAAATAATGTTGCAAGTATAACTCTGGTTGAACCACGTATTGCATCGCTAATAGAAACCGATCGATTTCAGGTCTTTCGTAAAGAATCTGTCGAATCTCGTAAGTGCTGGTCTCGTTCAGAAGAGTAGGGTTCGTTTCCACGGTTAAACGAAACGTGTAAATTACCGCGTTGGGGTATGTTTCAACGATACGTTTCAGAATAGGTATAATTAAGGGAGCGATCGACGTTCCTAAATTAGAGAACAGTTGAGCCTGCCAAGAAAGAAACAGCCAAGTTTGAACAGCTTTGCTTTCTTTCATGAAAATATCCTTTGTTTCTTCATCGTTGAAATACTCAGGTTTTAACAAACAAGGGAAATAATGAGCTGCCTCGAGAGATCCGTAACTCATTGCTTTCAATATAGAATGGACAAATTCTTTGCTCAATTGAACGTCGCTTTCACTTCGTGACAGTCTGTCGTAGCAATACTTTGAAAGAGTAAAATAGCACTCTTTGATATTTGTGGTCGTTGTATCACAGCACATCTTCAAATTGTTCAAGCTGTAAGCTTCCAATGCATCTCTTATGGCAGGTAAATCATTACTCTCAAGGTTTATCTCTTTCAAAATTAAACTGTTTTCCTTCAACAATTCTGCAAACGTTTCGTCTTCTTCGCTTAACTGCACGATTCTCGATGCTATCTTACTGATTTCCCTTCGAACGTTACCACTCGTGGTACTTTCAAGATTGTCCTTCTGTAAAAGATTGTGGCAATATTTCCAGGAAGAAGCGTAATTCGATAACTTCTTCTTCATGTTTGTCTCAACCTCTCCTGTTAGGTTCTTTATTTTAGCACCAATTAAGTAGTTCTGGTGTATCGAGTCCGCTGAATAATTTTTCTTGTCTCGTTCCAACTGCAACAAATACTTCTTTGCTATGTATTTATTTCTCTGATTTAACGCTGCCTCGATCATCTTTGATTTGATGCGAAACGTGGTCGCGTGTAGCTCACGAGTAATACCATTTTCTTCGTCGTCGTGGTTACTTTCTGCGTCGCTTTGCGTCTCGTTCTCGTTCGACTCTTCCAGTTTGTTACTGAGTAACGAATTAATGAAATAGATCCTGTAGGACGTTAACTTGTCCCATGGGAGTATAGCATCTTGAGCAGAAGGCACGCTGTTGCTCCAGAACTTGAGGACTTTCTTCAAATCGCACGGTGATTCTGCAGTTTTGAAGATCTTTATAAACCGGTTCAGATCGTTGATGATCCGCAGCTTTTGCAGTTTGCGAACCCTCAGCTGAGTGGAGAGAGGATGAAGCCTGATCCACTGTTCCCTTATCTCATCCAAAGTGTTCAACAAAAATTCACGAGCAATCTCTAGTTTATTGGGCCAGAAGAACATGAACGATTCTTCTCCGTAGAATCGTTTGATGTGCTCCACCTTAGCATCGTCGTTCAACCAAGATTCCATGATCTTCACGTCGTCTTCGAACTCTTTGCTTTCGTCTTCGTCTATCAATTTACGTACATTTACTTCGAACAACCATGGAAACATCCAATCTCTCCACGGATCGTTCCAAATGTTATCCTTGTCTTTGTTCAGTTTGCCTTTTATATGGCTGTCGATTTCGTCCCAGCAGCATAGATTGCTCAAACATTCGAACAAACCTTGAACACAGTATTCCTTCATCAAGTCTGATTCCGTTTCGTACACCTTCTCGTACGCTGCTTTTGCTTTTACCCAATTGTTCGATGCTTGAGCGAACGATGCAATCTAGAAATATTAAAAGGAACGATGCAAAAAGTAGCAATTTAAATGGAGATAGAAATAAATGTGTGTATTGTCAGTGGAATCGTCGATGCAGCGAGGTCGTAAAATTTCATTTTTAACCTCGCTATATCGGTTCCATTAATTGTACCTGCATGTATTCGTTGGTGATGTGATTCTGAAAAATACTGAGAACCACGTCAATGTCGTTCATAGATTCGTAAATATTCGTTAACTGCAACCATTCAGAGGTTGTATCGCTCACACCTTCGCTTCGTATCTTCTTTGTAGGCGGTCTATAACCAACTGACCCGTGAATTATACTTTCCTCTAAAACAAGCGATCCAAGGAAGTTCAAACTGTTCGATCTCGAAGCTTTCGCAACAGCCTCTGGCGGACAGTTTGTTATACGAGTGTTGAATAATATTTCTAAGACTGCAGTTAAAGTAAAATTGCTTCCTTGTTCGTTTTCTACGATATACTTCATTCTATCTGCGAATCTCTCTACAAAGCCATCAGGTTTACAGTCTTGAAGCAACGAACAAACGATAGAAACTGTTAAATCCTTGCAGATAAGCTGATCTGTCTTTGCTAATTGTTGCAATGGCTCGATCAACGCGGCATGAGATATCTCAATATCTGGAAAATCACCTATTCTGTATTTTCTGTACAGCTTCACGCTGCTTCTTTGTCGAACACCTTCCTCCTTTATCATTTCCACACGCTGTATGTTTTTCATGATTTCTTTCTGCCGTATAACCGCAGAAACGTCTGTCATACTGCTCAAAAATCGCTTGGACCTTTTTGTGAAGGCAGGCTGTGGCACTTTTGGTTCTTTAAACGTATCATTCTCCCCTCGATTGCTGAACGTTGCTTGAAATTCTTCGCCGACGTAAGTTGGTTCAAACTCAGGCTCCTGAGTCGCTAAAAGCTCTATCTCAGCGTTAGAAACGTAGTTTGATCTTGAGTATGTAAAATCAGAAGATATGTTTGACAATGTAGCGCTCATCTGAGTGAACGTTTGATTCATTTGACTAGTTAAAGACGGAGCGAAAAGCGGAGCCTTTGATCCTAAATTCTTTGTTCTCCATGAGAGAGCTATTTTGCATTCCCTATAGCTGCAATTGTGTAGAGGTCCAAACATCTTCTGTGCATAACTCATAGATTTCTTGGTAAGGTCTAAGATCAGCAAAAGTATGAATGGCAAAAAATTCTGACTAGCACTGGGAGTGTATATATCTAAAGTTTCCAGTAACCTTTCTTTGAAAGTAGTTTTTAATTGTGCATCATAGGTCCAGAATGTCTTCAGAAGTATCTGTTGCATATTTTTTATAGATATTTATAAATATATTATAAGCACTTTCTCTGAATTCGGAAGATCCATGCTTCGCATAAGGCGGTACCATAGTTGTCAGTGATAGAACGTTTGATGGAGGAAGTACGGGAACCAGAGAATCGATAACCCTTAATGCTACCTTCTCACAGGGTAAAATCTTATTTTTCAACAAATCGTCAAACTTCATGTGAGTTAGTTCCATTAATATTTGGTCCACGCTAAGATTCGGTATACACAGCAAAAATATTTCCAAACAATTTGACTTGCCCTGAGCGTCCACTCTGAATATGTTTGCAGTGACAAATTCGAAATACATCATTGCTGCAGTTGGATAATTTTTACACAATGCACGTATACACTTTATCTGCCTATTTTCAAAACGTGCTTGCATCTGTCTCAATATACTTCGAACTTTGTCGATTATGGCACACTTTTTGTTTGCTAAGGCAACATCAGTGTCCAGATACTTTAAGATTAAACCAAAGCATTCACAACACTGTAAAATTGTTTCCTCATCATCTTTCCAGTTCTCCAAGGATTTCTCTAGAAATTCTAAGATATCCTCCCTTTGAATAATGTCTCTCTCCATTCCATTGATGAAACAGATTAATATCAAGTACACTGCAGCTGCAGGTGCAGTTTTCATCTTGTCCTCTAAATTGGAAGGCAGCTTCAAGTACAAATGCCACACTTCAAGCATTGTCTTTATCATGCTCATGTTGTACGTATAAACAGCTCTAGAAATTTCTTTGGTCTTCTTCACCATTGCTTTTCGTATAATTATCTCCCATAACCGTTGAAATGCAACTTTGTTCTCGTTAATCGTGCTTTCAGCTGATTCTTGAGAAGATGAAGTCTGCCAATCTATCAACATTTCTATAACGTCGACGATAATATAGTTCAACTGATTTCCTGTCAAGTATGAGTACGTTACGTACACTATCGGCTGCAGGAAAAATTTCACGTAAGACTTGAACACTGTTTGCATATTCAAGACAACTTTCAACATGAACAGCCTGACGTTATCGTAACGGGTAGATGTAATAGAAGTAAGAAAACACTTTAGCCACTTTGGCATTGTAATATCGTTATTGATTTGTTGTGACATCGTAGAATCATTAATCGGTGGTGCAGATATTTCTTCTGATATTATATGACTCAAAACTCCACAAATAGAAGCCATACACTCGTGATTGTTTAGTTCGTCGCTTTCAAATGTTAGACTCATGCTTTCTTCTTTGGCAGTATTGTCCGATTCGTTGTGCAAGGTTGCTTTATTAAAATCAAAAGCATCTATGTCTTCATTCAATGTACAGGTGGACAAATTGTAACTGTAAATGTATGAGTAGCGATTAGAAGTTTGTCTTTCTTTCAAGCTCTTCCTGATATTGATCAATCTTTTACGATATTTCGGGTACTCCTTAACCGTCTGCTGAAAGTTGTATTGCTTCTGACAGTCCACAATGTTCTCCCAAATCAAATGTGCCTTCTTTCTGTTCTCAGCAAATATACTTATGTAAGAATCTTCCTCATTTTTCAGAGACACGATAGCTATGGAACAATTGTACGCTGAACAATGCAGCTGTCTCATGATTTCTTTATGCTCAGATTCAGGTGTCTTCAACATGCGTACTTTTAACGCGTTGCTGTACAAACTTTGCAAAAGTTCTTTCCCAGTGACCACATTATCGATGGCGTTTCGAGTAATCGCACTCTCAATATTGTCTATTCCTCTTATGTCTATCTTTGCGAACATAATCGAAACAAGATCGTAACAGCCTATCTTTGATACTATAAGCTGTCTCATATCTGAACTGCATCCGATGAAACTTTGACAAACAATCGCATGGATCTCTTTGATGTTCTCTTCGAAGAATCGACGTATCTCGACAGTCTTGCAGAATTCGAACAATGGTAAAAGAAAACTGCGCAACACGTCGAATCTTTCGTTTGTCGGTGTATTCAAATTCATGAATAATTTGTACGCCAATTGTAGAGAATTAAAGGCATAATCAGTGGTGATCGAGGCGAAATATCTTTGTAGATATTCGTCTGTTTCTTTGTTACACAATTGTTCGGCAATTCCGCATGCGAATGAAATGATGGATTCGAAAACTGTGGTCGATTTAGTGACCGGTAGCAACGCTGTTAATGTTTGGAAGCATTTTATTATTTTCAGAGCTTTCACATTCCTCTGAGAAAAATCATTCGGCCACACGTTGAGTCTGTCACTTCTCAAAGTACGCAGAATGACAAGCAATTCTGGTTTTGTTTCTGATGTCATGTCTGTCAGGCATACCAGGAAATTATTAAGGATATGCATCTTGTATTCTATATCCGAACTGTCCATTAGTTGAGTAAGTATCCACATATAAAAGTCTTTACTCATAGACAATATTTCAATTGGTTTATCTTTCAGATGAACTGCAATCCCGAAAATGTTGATCAACTTCTGTTTTCTGTCTTCCAGATTATTCACAGCACTTTGGAATACTGTGAAGTTTTTAATCACAGTATCCACTAATATTTCTACATCATCCTGCAATTCCTTTTTATGATGTTGTACAAACAAAAATAGCTGCTCCACTATTGTTAAGAAAAGACTGGGATTCCTTTGCAACACGTCGTTAAATATTTCCATAGTTTTTTCCATATCCATCAACATGTACCTAAATATTTGATTTTTGAACGTACTCAGAAAACATATACCGTGTTCGATTTTTTTGGTGTCTGAATCAAGCATTGTCTCATTTTCAATTAATCTAATTAGAGCCTGTGTCATCGAAGGCTGCAAATATAAATCGAGGATTTAACCATATTTTCAGTGTGTCTCGTTTTTTATTTATACATTTGAAAATTATACCTCGTAGTGCATAAGCAAAAAATCCATTAAGGTCTCGAGATAATCCTTTATTGATGGCTTTATATTTACGCGAATAAGTTCTCCCGTGCATTTTGTTGCCAAGACTTTGAAAACACGCGTAACTTTGTCTTCTCGTTGTTCAATCAATGCGTTTGCCTAAAGAAAAAAGTATTATTAATTAGAAAATTTGATAGGGCAAAATACTTATAAAAAGGTATTATGCATATATGTTACATTGTTTAGTTGACTGAGGATGTTATGATGTTCCAAGAAGCTTAAACCTTTAACATATTGTTTAAGTTTATTACAATTGTCCATACTAGAGACAATTTTAGTTAGATCAATGAAATCGTTCATATACTTCTCCACGTGTATCGATAATTCACTCTTAACCAGATTCATTAAAGAACTATTAGCTTTCAACAGATTTCCCATAATTGGGAGAAGTGCTTTAGTTATTTCAAGATTTTTCACACCAAATCCTATTACTTGTGGATACATTATACACTTTGTAATTAACTCAAACAAATCATTGTTGAATAAAAAGTCTGGAATGAAAGTGTCCTGAAATTAAAAGATTAAAAATTCCTTAATAATTCAATACAACAACCTTTCACTTGTAAAACTTGTTTGGCTTACATCAAAATTCAACAGGATTTGTATAAAGTCAAACACAGCCAATAATACTTTACACTCCAACGTTTGTATATCTTCAAACTCTCTTGACAAAGTTACCAAGTCACCACTTTCTCTATCTTCTATTTTAATTCTATTCATCAAGTGAACAAAATTTCTCGCACAGTTGAAAATTACTTCTCTTTGCGGATTTGTATTGCCAAACAAACATTGCACATCCAATAAACCATCTCTTATTAACCATATATAACAATCCAAACTTCTTAGAAGAGGTAGCATGCCGTTAAGAGATAAACTTTCTATCTTTGGTTTAAGATTATTTAATAGTATAACATTAAGCGCCTCGATTCCATTAGTATCGATGTAATTACTTATCATTGTTTCAGCTAGATTATTATTTGCCACATGTTGGGAAAGTTTAATAACTAATTTCATACATTTTGCTCGACAACATTGATCCAAGCAACCGCATTGTATGAACAACCAGTTCACAGCATCGCTTAACGTCGTGCCTTCAAATTCATCTGGTTTTCTACGATTATGGTGTTTCGCATTGAACAGATTTTTCTTCGTTATTAGAACTCTGTCGACGTGGTCAAGTGCAGCGACAATTGAAGGATCGTTACAACCGTTCAGACTTTTCACAAAGCTGTACAGAATCTCGAACCAATATATAGATACAATTTTCTCGTCTTCGCGCAGAATAGTGTAGAGATGATTGAAAGCTGTTGCAGCTGCTATTCGTTTAGAAGCAGACGGATGAAGCGCAAAGTTTGTCATTTTACATATCACTTCATTAATGTTAGATTCAACGTTTGTCTTACTGTCGGATTGTTTTATCGACCATTTAGTAAATTCGGCTAGACATATTCCAGAAAATTCGCGGAGAGACGAATTGGAGTCGTTGTTCAGACCTTCGAAAAGCGAATCGAGAAAATATATAGTCGCTGGAGATTTGAGCATGAATTTTGAGCTCAACCAGTGTGTCAGCTGCAGCATTAATGGTTGGAAAATTTGTCTCGCTGCTTCATCGTAATCACAGCCTAAATTCAGCAGAGCTGGATATAATTTAACGAGAATGGGAACGAATCGATCCGGATTAGATGTTAATTGCTGCGATGTATTGCCAAGAACAAATTGTATTATCGAATGGAGCATTTCACAGGCAATTATTTTTGTTCGTCTATCTCCAGAATTTTGAGATAGTAAAATTAGTCTTGGCAAGATTTTATCGAAGTGAATATCCACTTGCATATCAGAGAACATCAACGAGTATTTCACCAAATCTTTCTTATCCCAAGTGGCTCCAGTGTCCATAGATCTTTTATATATGAAATTCATTATTATATCGGTGTCAAGCGAGGCGATAAACGTCAGAACTCTCATCTGAAACCTTTCCAAAGTATTCTCGTCATCTCTTAGGGTTATTCGTTTAATAACTTTTCGTTCGGTTTTTATGATGTCCTGTAAAAATTCTACAGAACTTTCTCCACTGTGTAAATATGGCTCCAAAAGTGGTACTATTTCTTGTAAAAATGCATTTGTATGTTTTTTATCCAAGTGGTCTGTCCATTTTCCTAATGCATTCAAAGTATTACAAGCTAATTCGAAATCGCTTAAACCGACAGTGAAAGCGATTTTAAATGTTGTAATTGTACTGTCCAGTATACGTTCGACGTACATTAACGGCACGTTTAGAATTAAGTACAAGCATGTAGTTAACAACTCGTTGGAAAACGTGGGGATCAGATTTAAGACATCGATTAAATACTTATACAACAATTCTAGTGTTTCTGGTTCAATTTCGTCTGTACTTAAGCTGCAAATGTGTTTAAATGTTGCACGTACTAGTTTATAGAAACCCGATACCAGAGGATGTTTATAAGATATACTGATAACATTTAATAGAAATTTGTGTAGGGTGTTTATCAGTAAAAATGTCTCCAATTCGTTTATAACGTCAACGTATAGATCTACGATATTGATGAACATTTGAAAATCTGCCTCATTCTCAGCAATTTGAGAAAAGGCTACATCTGAGAATACGTTATCTTCTTTCGTTTTAGTGTTCAGATTTAATTTCCCTATTGATGCGATCCCCACGTTTATAAACGTATCAACTAAATCTTGTGCAATTTGTCTGTGCTCCCTGTATCTTTCTGACTTCAAAATTTGTATCCATAAAGGTAGATAATTTTTGTAACATAATGGTCGCTCTGGAAGATTATCCAATCCTCGTTTTAATTCCGCATCAACGAATAAAGTATGGGAACAAGTCCATGCTACTCCATTAGGAACTAAATATTTAAATGTATTATGTAAAAAATGGCAGAATATTAAATTTCATTTGTAGACATTTACGCAACGTATGCTTACTTAGATTATAAAGAAACTCGTCCAAGAAAATTTTATTAATCATTCCAACATTGATGATGGTATTTATCAACGATGATACTGCAAGGTCTTGGCCGACTATACGTAGGTCAGGAAATCTTTTAAATAAAAGAATACTGAGCTTTGTAATTATAAAGATTTGATCAATTGAAAGATTCGATGTATGCAATATTATTTCTGATAGAGCTTCTTGGTAGTCACAAATACATTCCAACTGTATTTTTTCTATATTTTCCCTGAAAAATGTAGAATATTAATTAATTTACATTGTTGGCATTTGACCAACACAGATATACAGTTTTGTACCTGGAACAAAGTGGCATAGCACAATTAGCTATCAGTGAAAACATATTTTTCACATCATCATTAGTAAGATATCTTTTACATGGTGCAGCCATTTGGCTAAAACCATATACAATAAAACGTAGCATACTTGAATTTACTTGTTGATTATTGTTTAGCTGTTCCTCAAAAAGATTTTTAAAGTACTAAAACATAATAGATGTTATACATTGTATAAAATCATTATTTTACATAATAATTATTTAATAAATTACCAAGAATATTGTTTTATCATCCTCAGATTGTTTGTCCTTCAAAGTATTGCCGATCATTCGATAGAAGTTTTTTAAAGCACGCTGACCGCATTCATTGTATTGTCCGTTTTTATCTTGAGCTAACTTTATTAGTAGATTATACCAATATTGGTAATCACGATAAATGAATTCACGAAATTGATACATATGCCTGGATAACAAATTAATTGCTGATTTCATTGAAACTTTTTTAACTGAATATCTGTCAGGATGACTTAATTCTTTAACCCATATATACAGTTCCTCACAATATGTTTCTTTCATTTCATTGGAAAGTTTGTGTAACATATTAGAAAATACATCCAAATATACTTGAAATATATCAATTGATTTGGCCATGGTTTCTGGGTTGTACTGAAATTTTTTGTTTAAAAATTATAATTTTCCCTTCACAAATATCAAATGATAAAATATACCTGTTTTTTGAAGTCATTTCTTAACTGCTGGAAAATTACATTAGAATATTCCTGTATCTCTGGAGTTTCTGAACACTGTCTTGTAATTGTTCCAAGAACAGAAAATAGTAAACTTCTTTCTGAAGTAAATGATATTAATGAAAACTTTTGTGCCAAGTTAGTTATTAATAATACAAATTTACGATAAAATAATATACCTTTAATATCAACTGCAGGAAACAAAGATACAAACTTTTTTATAGTTTCACCTAGGTCAATTTCATATTCCTTAAAGAGTCCTATCAATTTATTAAAGGCACTGCTAGCAGCTTTCTGAATATATGCTGAACACCGTGTTGCAAGTGCCTGTTGGCATGTATTCTACAACCAAACAGGAACTTTGATACATTGTGGAACAAAATACACAATTATTTATATTTATAACATATAATACCTTTGCATCAACTATGTAAGGTACAAATATATCAGGGAATTGTTCCATGACAAATTCAAGAAGACCAAATGCTTCTTTTATTGCCATATCAAAACCCTTTTGAGGAGTGGATTTTTTAAGTTCCTTATTAAGAAAACAGAGCAAGCCTTTATTTTTATCAAATAATATAGATAGCACCAGTTCTAAAAAAAAAAAAATACCAAGCATTAGGTGTCACTAAAAAACCATATATTCAGTATATGTGTATCATAAAATTCAACTAAATGTCGTATTATAACAGTATAAAAAATAATATTTTTTACTACATACCGCTATCATCTTTCGCTATATTTTGAAAATATGTTGTACTATTTTTCAATATTTCCAACAAATTAGCGCCGTTCCTTTCTACCACAGCTCTCTCGAAAATATTTATAAATACTTTAAACGAATCCATGTTTTGCCGATTTGATTACTACGAACACTCGTATATATTAACCATTCGTTTATGTTCGTAACATGTTATGACATCCTAACAGAGCACCTAATAACAAAAAGAACAATAAATAATTACAGTATAATGGTAATTATTTAATGTTTGACGATTTGTCGATAAAACTGTTTCATTATTTGACGCAGTACGAAGTCCTTTACCCTTTCAGGTCATTTGTCCCGCCTTTTTCTGAACCTACATTCTCATTCATATGTCATCAGACACTTCAGATTAAGAATAAATTTACATTATACATATAAAGTGAAATTAACTTTTGTTAACAACAATTTAAATTATCCTACCTTTGTAAGGTCTTTTAAAAAACCAACCTCAATGAACATTTTGCACAGAAAAGTAACAAGTATCGAGTGACTTATGCACAAAAGTGTATACAAACAAGTGACAAAGAATAAGTAAGAGAATACATATATGAAGTAATTTACGTCTTTATTAGGTTAATACGAAACATCATGCTAGATTCATTTTGTATCTTTGATGAGATATTTTATCATTTAAGATGATGCAAAGAACGTATTATTATAGCGTATTGTTTTATTATGCTTGTTGTTGTATTAGTCGTTAACAAACAATGTACGAAACAAAGTGTGTTTATCAGCAAACTTATAATTCATGGTAAAGTGTAACGTTTTGAATGATTTATTCCGTTTTCGTACATGCATTATCGCAAGAAAATGTATTAAAATTATGCAGATAAAAGGGATACATGATTCAAATAAATAATCGGAAAGTTTAAATTTATCTGGTAAGTGAATCACGTGTCACGGGTTAGCTTATATAGTCAGTTTTCATAATCGTGAGATAAAACGTTGCTGGGGGCATTCGTAGATTTATCAAAGAACAAAAATTATCATAGTACACGAAATAATAACGTTCCATTTATTCTGCAACAATTTTTATATTAATTTTATTCCAATTTGTATCTCACTAATTTCGTTACATTTCCAAGGAATACATTGCAGGGATACAATTACAACGAAATTACAATCAGTTTCTTATTATTCTCCATAATAAATCGTTCGATTTTCGCGGCAGCTTGACCACAGCAAATATCTCCATTCGCTATGAACGACCAATCCGCATTTTTCATCTATAAAGACCTGTTCGACGGGTTTTTATGCAACACCATGAAACAAAATATCGAATATCTGTTGTGACCAATACTGGATCACGCTACTTATCGATTTTTAGCTTTATCCCGTATAAAATTGCCTAGAACTTATAATAGTCAGTTGAATAGAGTGACTGCAAAGAGAATAAACGTCGAAAGAGAAAGTAAAAGGAAGTGAAACAACGAAAAAGAAAAATAGAAACAACTTGTAACGATCTATGATTCTCGTTTGATGTTTAGAAATCGCGATTCTCCGAGTGCAATATTGTGAAGCGAGTAAAAGGTAACAGTAGCCACGGGGAGAAATGATTGTGTACGTTAACAATCCCTCTGACTATTTACGTAATTAGATAACGAGTGTTGGCGAGCTGTAAATTGCTTTCGGCACCGAATCCAGTTCAGTCTTTCGGTAGTAGCCGTCCAGTACGAAAGTAGCGTTTGCAATGAGCGACCAGAACAACGTTCCAGCGAACAGTGTGATTAATTTCGGTGCGGGACCGGCAAAACTTCCTGCACAGGTACCGCGAACGAATTCTGACGTTTTTAAATATAATTTACACTTTTGAGTATATTTTTTTTCTTTTTTTTTCGAGTCTTTTTGATAAAGACAGCACGCTGTTGGAAATATTAGAAGATAGAAAATGGGAAAGGATCGAATGGGA